ATATATATATATGAGAATTCGACACAGGGTTTTCCGTTTATCCTGCTTTGGTAAATGTTTTGTGGGGAGTCTTGCTGCTCACTTTTGATGCTAGAGTCATGTCTCACCTCCATCTGCTTCCGATGCCAATACAATGTGAGATACAAACATACACTAAAGTATGGTAAGTCACGTTTCCCGAAACGCTGGGATCCTTCCCTTCCCCCTTGTCAGACGATCGCGCTCCCCGCTGAGTATATTCGTGCCCGGCTTTGATGGTATGAGCATTTGTGAAAATTCAATAAACCAACCCTTTGTTTGACTGAACATTAAAAATGCAGTCTTGGAAGTGTGTTTCCAGACAACCCATTGGCTGATATTTGCGTACCGTTACTGTGCTCATCGATCGAATATAAGTCAAACCCGTAAAGGCGGTCCCATAATAATTTATCCGCTCGCTTACATTCCATGAAACCCTTAGTCCCCATCATCTTGGGTGTCTTTATGCTCAGCTTTATTTGAAACCGAAAAATTGAAGTGGTCCTTAAGTCTGTATTTATACATTTGTATTTCAGTTGTCTGACGTAATCGCCTCCTTTGGACGAAACACCCTTCCTGTGGTTGATGATGATAACCTTGAGCAAGAACTGCGTTCATTGATGAATCCTACCATTCGTCTACCTTCGGTTCCCTCCACCGAACTCAACGTGGCCAAATTAGATGAGGAATTAGCTTCTCTTTGTCTGGGTGAGTCGGACGTGACAGGAGCATCCCAGACTTCGCCAAAGTCGTCCAACAGTGCGAAAATTGCTGCCGCAGCAACGCCTTAATTTGTCCGACACCTGATTGCCGTACCATTGGTCTTTCTCACAGATATCCGCCCATAACTCCAGGAGACGTATTTTCCTAGAATTCCGTCTGCTTTCATTATTCAGAACTTGGACACCGAACTTCGCAACTGCTCCGCGTGTGTTCGTGATCTATGATTGTCCTCATAACTCTTGGTTTCACTGTATTTTGATGTGGTTCCCATCTGCTGTCTGCCTTTTTTTAATTTGAACGTGATATGCATTCTAGAACCTTCGTTCTCTTCTCTAATTAGTCCAACATTTCTCCGTTCTCCTCCATTCCGGGCACACAGTAGTCAAGTGCATGGCCGTTTGTAACCGTTGATATATCCTTGAATTAGCAGTGCATCGCCTAACAACCCCTTGCCTCACAAAGCTGCACATCCCAACAACCACTATATCATCCGTGTACATGGTATCAGTTTTTCGACTTATTATTTCACCCGGGTGGTCATTAAATCTACTCTGATCCATTGAGTCGTTCAAAACTCACTGCCGTTGCGCTATCTCTTTCAAGATATATTGGAGGAACCAAACCACCTAACCTACGTGTTCTGTAACATTGAGATATGAGTCTTACCTGATGAAGTCGTGATTTTGTGTCATTTTCGTAATTTATGCATACTTTCGTTACGCTGAGCAATCCACTTGTGCACTAACGTCCCAAGTATGAGCCTAGAGAGAAGGTATGGATCGCAAATGCGGGTTCCCGAATGCGTTCTCTCTCACCGATCTGCATATCAAGATCCTAGGCTAATAATGACGTAAATATATCAATGTGTTCGAAGACAACCGAGAAAATCGTTAGCCATCACAGCTATAGGCGTCCGATACGTTCTGTGCGGTAACAATACCCTTAGCATATCATTTGAACTCGGGCTCGAACAAACTTGGCTTCTTACATATTTACCACTAAACCTACATCTGCTCAGGCCCTTTCAACGTTTCTTAAGAATTTCATTGGACTTGTTCTACCGTTAACTTAGATGGCTTTACAAAGTCAGGGAATCACGAAACAACCATCTCGCAAAGTAGCCGGAAGTAGATCAGGCTGTGGCCGCACTGATCATGTGGTTTACATTGTTATCGCTAGTCGGAACAGTTTTGGTCCATTCGGGTGGTCTAGTGGGGAAAGGAGGTGTGGAGTTTTGAAGCCTCGTAAGTGAACCTTAGACAGTGTTGGATTATTTGATGAGTGGTTAGCCGCCACAGACCGCAGTTGTCATCCGAAGAACCAACGGTGACGGTGAATTCAATGCAAGGTGGTTTCTTTTCAGAAACTAAGTGTTCCCAACCTGCTTGAGCTGTTACTTCTGATGTCTCCTTTTGCAATCATATTTCCAGAATATGTCGCTTTGGTTCTAGCTGAAGTAGACATCCGATTCCGTATCAACAGGGGTGTGATGTGACGAAGATTATTTGTAAAATCGGACGCGCGGGTGTCTCATGGCCCTACCTGTCAGTACCTTGGCCGAATTCGTGTTGCAAACTTGAAGTTTCTACTTGTCACACCATTCTTAGAAGCACCCATAGATCCTATATTCAACGTGATTAAATTCCCGCAGAATTTAAATTGAGAACAACAGCGTTACTCGGTGCTGCATCGTCGGACAGGTAACAAAGGTTTTATTCCTATTTGTAGGCAGTCCTAAGGAACTTCCCGTAGCCCTTTCCACAAGGACTTGTCAAAGTTAAGATATGGCCCAAGGCGTCATGACTAGCTCTACTGACTCGATCTTACCTTGGCTTGAAGAGAGTCTGAGACAGGGTTCAATGGTAACAAGGAGAGAATTGGGCATATAGGAATCTTTGCCTTCAGAAAAAGGTGCGTTCAGTGAGAGATCGTGGCAACTGTATCTAAAATTAGTATGAAACGATAACCATAGCAGCCACCGGAGTGAAAGAGTCTACGTGGTAAGAGCTCTCCATGAACTAAAAAGGACTTCTAAGGTAAGCAAAATATGGTGCTGGCACTGTCCTAAAGCTGCTGCTTGGGTGATGCGCGAAGGTTGTGGACAGGTGAAGTTAGGATAATAGTCGGTCTCTGTCTCGGAATTAGTATGGTTGAATCCGCGGTTGTTTACACAGGAGCTAGGTACCGTGGTAATTAGGAGGACACGAATAACATGGGGCTTCATGCGGCACTCCTGACCATCGTGTTGGATTCTGATGTGCAGTTCCCTGGCCGTCTGTCCTATATAGACGTTGGTGCCGTCGTTACACTTTATTTTGTAGACACAGTCCTGGGTTCTGCTTGCCGGGAGGCAATCCCTCAATTGCACCAGTTTAGATCGCAGAGTGTTCTGCCTCTGGAAAGCTACTCTTACGTTGGCCATGTTTAGAATTCTTCGAATGACCTCCAATATCCCTGGTTTATATGGAATAACAACGGTCCCGATCCATTCCCTGTTGGGTTTCGCTACCGGTACCAACACTTTGCAGTTGACGCCTAATCAAGCTACCGGGATATCCGCTACCCTGAAGTTTGTTTTTTACTTCAATTTGGACCGCTATCCGATCAGCTTCTTCTGTGCACAGGGCCCTTACACGCCTAAAAATTGATGAGGCAATACTGGCAAATACCAACTTCGGACGGGCAGACGAGTAGTACAAAACTGCCCCAGTGTCGGTTGGCTTCTCGTACGCTGTGGTCTTTAGTTTCCCTCGACCTTAGGTGTCATAAAGTCTAAAAAGGCCAGTATACCCAAGATTGACTCTATCTCCATACCAAATTTGATGTGTGCAGATCGTTGTAAAACCCACTTGTATCGTTCCTTGACAACGAAAGTGCTATCCGCCAGAATATCTTGGGTGGGTATGGGAATCTGCTTTCTGTTCAAATTCTTCCATAAATATATTTGCCAAAACCGGGAATACTAGATATCACATTGCTAGGCCTTGTTCTTGAGTGTAAACCACAGAGTCGAAAACGTATTGGGTGTATGCCTTCCACTATTTCATCCACCGTGAGATGTGTCTGTGCTGAAATAGTGGTGACTGCTAGTAGCAGTCGCTTGGCTATTTCTAAAGCACATTTGTATATAACGAATTAACATCGAAACCGTGATTCCCGCTACTTTGTTGACTAATTCATATGAATACCTAATGTAAGTACTAGATTTCCCGGTTAGGAGATTTAAGATACCAGCCACAAGTCTGGCCAGCTCATGCGGTGGGAAGCCTATTCCGTCCACTATCGGTCTCACCGGGACTTCTGGTTTATGGATTTTTGGAATGCCATAAAGTCGTGGTTGGAATATACTCTTGGGGTAAAGTCGATACCAGTTGCCTTGTTCTAAGTAGTTTATCGCGGACCGCAAATATCTGCTAATTTCGGCCTAACTCCTATTCGTTATAAATGTAATATTATCATCGTCGATCACCCCGTAAGGACCCTCAGCTATGTTTTGCTTGACCTATAGGTAATCACTCTTGGTTATGACAACAGTGGCCTTACCCTTGTCCGTCATTATAATAACTATGTTGTCATCTTTTTAGAGTGTTTAAGGCTCTTCGCTCTGCTGGTGTAATATCTGGAGTTCCTGGCTGCTAGGACTTAGGGACCAGCTGTACCCGTAGCCTCTCCGCCTCCATTTGCGGAAGTTTTTTGGAACATAGATTCAACGCTAGGGATAATTTCCTCCGCACTTATCGCTTTTTTGCTTACTGTAAAATTCGAGTCTTTCTCTGATGTAAAACGCTTTTCCTCACTTAGTTGTCTGTTTGATAAATTTATCACGCTACAACAGCTAGTATGGGGCTCAGGCTCAGTCACAAGCTCCCCAGAATTCCGGGTTTTAGAGAGTAATTTTTCGAACTTACGGATTTGTTTCTCTTTGTTTGTCTCTGTCTCCTTGGATGGCTTTCACTTCTGTTGCTTTGGTTCTCAGTAATTTAAAGTCTGGGCGAGAGCACGGTTTGAATATCTTGGCTGAGCCAACATGCGTGCTGACGGATATCAAATAATCGCTTAGTATTCAAGTAAATCCTTAGTTTGAGGACTGGCTTGGCCGCTGAGAATGCCATTCGCGCAGAAGCATTTAACGCGTCCGGTGGCTAGCCCAGTAAAGATGTGAGGGTTATGTTGTGCTTCGAACATCTTTTATTGAATATGCGGTGGTTCTCCCAGCTCTCACAACTTGGTGATCTGTCCACTTGGCTTGATGAAGCATTTGTATCAGAAGCGAAACGTTGCCCAACTAAAAAATACCGATTTTTACCAAGCCCTTCTGGAACCAAACAGCTCGTTTTGGTGTACTGGTTTGTTACACGGAGAAAAAGCTCCTGTGGGGTCTATGTTTGTCGCCTTGCACGCGGCAACGAGTAGGTGGAATGCGTTACATCAAAGCTAGTAGAGTAGTCTTCCGTGGTCCTTATTTAAGTTTGATCATCTGATTATTATATTGTAGTTTATAGGCAATTGTTCAACATGTCCAATTGCATCTATGGTTGTCTGCTAAATGACAATTCTTAGCAATCGTTTGTGTTCATCGTCATGAACATTTCACTGCGGAACTGATTTCGCATTTATCAGCTGCTATTCTGATATTCGCTGGAAGTATGAATCCTCGAGCCTATATGGTCCGAAACCTTCACAGGCACCGGTATATTCAACAAGTCACAGTCCAGGTCACACCTGAATATACCATACTTTCTAGTTCAGTGACTTCGTAGGTAGTGATTCGTCCATTTTACGGGTGATCTACTGACCCATACTATGCAAACCTCCATACTGTTCCAGTTATTTGCCCGTTTGTGGTCTGCCGTTCTGATGACTTCCTTTCCTAACATTCTTCTTTGTGAATTCTGAAATTGGCAAATCAATACTGGAATCTGCTTATCGAGTGTTTCCACTTAACTCTTGGTTGGATTTACTCCTTTGAAGTCTGTCTCTGTGAGTGTGATGAAGCTCCTGCTCCAACGTATTTTATAAACCGTATCAAATGAGAAAATTAGCTGAGGGAATGAACGGTTTCCTGAGAAATCGTCCCAGCGTTAAAAGGCGAGAGGAGCCTGACAATCGTCAATAATTCTCAGCAGGTATACAGTATGAGTCGCGAATGAAAGTCGGTCGTGAAATCTGCATTTAGTTTCTCGATTGGTTGCTATGTTCCACTCATTTTGAGTTAAAACCGATAGGAAAATCCGCTCAACCAAAGAGTAGATTTTTCTTCGTTCAGTGAGTAGAATAAACTTTCCAGATGTGCAAACCTTACCTCACTGCGACATCGAGAATGCGCCGTATACTTCTTGAACGTACGAAGAGTTGTTAAATGAATGTTTTTTCGCGCCCCAACCATTCTTTTTCCGGACCTGTGAGTGCATCCACACTGCACACTTAATTCCTTCCTCCACAACCTAACTCCATCGTTCTTAGTTTCGCTTCTACGCTTAGATCGTACATGAATTTTACGGATCGTAGGCAGTTGGTTTGTCGGTCGAGGATGCGTGTCTGAAAACTTTGACACCAGCTATACTCAACGTGAATGACGAGGTCCTGAAAAAATAGCCGAAGTCTCAGTGGCAACTTTGTGAACATCTGCTTTGCTGATAGTGCAACACATGCTTTACTGGTTATGATGGTTACAATTTTCACTTTTTTATTACTCAAGGAGATCGGTTACTGAGAATGGAGAACTAATAGTGCCTCAGTGAATGACGAACTCCAGCTTGATCAAACCATGGATCAAGAGAAGGTACTTCGATGCGTAGAAACGTATAGCCTATCCGTAAAGCACAATTGTGGAGAATAATGGAGCTTCATCGGATGACCAATGAACTTTGTGTTGAGTGTCTTTGTGCCGTAAGAGTTTGAAAAAACAAGATGGAGGAGAATGCCACAGACTAGCCATGTCGGTGATCAATAACGATGAGTCTACTTATACACTCATCTGCATATCATTTTGGTTTCGACGTAAAATTCGCCTGAAATCCAGTTTAATCTCTTGCTTACAATGTCCTTTAGCTTAATGTGCTGCACCAGACGTACGCATGTTTCAGGCGCTCCGATACTCGAACTATTGCAATACATTGAACAGACGTAATACACTACTCTAAGGCTGCTGAAATCACTTCGAGATCGGTTGAAGAGATGCAGCCCAATTCAGCCTTGGACCCTAAAATAAGTTTATCTATCTTCTGACGTTCCTGTTGACCAGAAGCTACTTCTCCTTTTGACGTCAGTGGTCCAAGCGTCCGTTGGATACTGGGTAGTTATGGCTGTGGTTCACATTCAGATCTCTATTAGAAGTGATGTTCCATCGCCCTATCATCAAATTCCTCGCAGAAGGTTTCCTGAGTTTGAGAGCCTGATGTCACGTCATCGTGTACGGAATCACAATTTTTTATTTATTTTGTTACTCCCAAGAAATTCCCCCAAAAGGGGAATCAGAAGTTCTCGGTTATTACACGAATGTACAAACTTCCGACAGTTGGTCCCGTCGTCTTCAGGGTTATACACTGCATGTTTGGGTACGGGGATTCGGATCCCGAAAAATGGTGTTTCAAAAATCCTATATGCCCTCCGTCCAAAAGACGTTCGGAACACCGGTGTTCCCCGTAAAAGACTGTTTTTCTAGAGAAATGATCGACTCATTCCCAGGGACCCATCGTGCCCTTCGGAAACTTGGATGTAAATCAAACATGAATTGTGTACGTTCCAAATTGAGAACGTCTAATTTATTCAACCCCGATAGTTTGTTGGTATCAATGGATCTCACCCAATATGTGCCAGGAATTCATTGGCCCCAGCCTTTAAATATTCATGAGTTATTCTAATCTCCAGGTAAGAATATCAGAATGATAATACACTATAGACGGGATGAACATTCCGGGCGCGCGATATCTTGTTTGATAACACCGTCATTGACATTGTTTTCGGGCAATCCCGTTGGAATTAGCCAACCAAAGTGACGTCAGGTTTTACAAATGGAAAGGTGTCTCTAAGGGATGTTAGTGACAATATACTATGAAGCATATCATTGCGTGGAAACCGCGACAAGCAGCATTCCCATATTCCGATCATTATTGCGAAGTGCATCAAATTGTCCCTGATTATGATATTCGCAACAAGGCGAGCTTCACAGCCAACATATGTGTGCCGAATTTCGGTGAACAATCCTATTACCTTCGTCACTTCTGTCGAGTATAGCGTATATAATCGTTATCTACCTGACATCCTGGGTGGAGGTTGCATTGGGTGTTCCGTGTATAATGCCTACCGTTTGAATGACATCGTGGAGCGTAAAAAATATCTTAAAATTGGATTTCGTGTTCTATCTCGCGCACTGGTAATCACAGGCGAATTGACGGTGGTCGGTGACCTTGAAACCTTGTTCACTTAAACAAAGCGCTATCAGAATAATATCGCTGAAGGATGTAACTGGATTACGTTTACGCCCCGTAAAGTTGAGAACTTTGAATGCTTCAAAGTTTCGGTGAAATTAATTCAGGTTTACTCAGTGAGAGCGGCTGACTATCAGTATATCGAAATACAAGTGTACCGGAATGACAAATATGGGTTGGACGATTACCGAGGCAAGGTGCTTTAACGACAGAAAGCTTGGCTGGAATTTCGGATAAGTCTTTCTGGTTATATTTTACTGAGTGGAATACCGTTAGCTAGCGGCTCACTCGGGCTCTCACTACAAATCTCTTTTAATTCAGGTTAGGTGAAACCTCATCATTATAATTTTCCTGTAGTCGGACCGTTAAAATTTTTACTCGAAAGCATTGTTTTTTGTTTCAGGTAATGGTGGTTGCGGGATTGTGCACACCAAAGATATAATATAGTGTTCATATCATTTGGCTACCAATCATCAATACACATTTGTTCCAAACTGTGCTGCCGCAAACCGAAATTGTGGATGGCTTGTGGTTTCTAGTATTGTCTCCTGTTTGCAATAGATTCCGGATGCGGACCGCTTGAAATAAACGACACGTCACCAGTTGGTCATGGGACAAAATGCTCATGCTTTGATTGGTCAGGATATGGGCCAATCAGGTTGGGGTATCCATAGCTGCCCATCTTGCCAAAAAAATCTGTCAGGGGGCATCCCCCTGGCCCCTTCCCCGTTAAATACGGCGGTAATCTTGGTCTCCACTAGAGACTGTCTTCAACAGTTGCACCGTTTGATAATCCGTGGTGAGAGAAACACCAACCCAGAAAGACAAACGTGGAAGTCGCGGACCACAACAGGGCGTGATTCCTATGAAATTTTAGTGAAGCCGTTCAGTACTTGATGATGACGCTGTCTGTCTCAGAGATCTTCGAGATTTATCGTGGCCAATAGTGTGATTGCAAGAATCGGTTTCAGAAGCCGAGCCAGTTTGGTTCACTGCGAGTCATAGTCCAGAGATACTCTAGTATCTGTTTTCAACTTGAGGCGCACGCGTAGTGTAAAATGACATCCTGGTATGTGGCCTAGTATGACGAACTCAAGGCAACTCAGTGATTAAGGGGGGCTCATAAGTTATTATGCTAACCGGGGTTCCGTTATTCGAACTCAGCTTCGGCATATGGATTGCTCGAGCAGCCTAGACAGGGTCTCTAGTAGGCTTAGACGCACCTGCGATTTCCAGCCACTTTGCTTCAGATTAGTTTGTGCATGAGTCGACTTCCGCTCCTGGCCATCCTCTGAATGCGCCGAAAAAGTGTAGCAGTAGCACGGTTTTCACCTATTTCCGGTTCGAACTGCGGCATTGCAAGAACTTCCACTCTTGGGAGTCTGATGGACACACTCGTTGTTTGCAAAGTCACGGAAATTACAACGGGTCAATGCGGCAGAAAACGTACACTAGATTAATGCTGTGTAAGAACAGTTTAATGCCTACGCTTAATTTCGCCATTCACCACTATGACGTTCTCTGCCCACAGGATTCTGTCTTCGAACATGTCTATCATCAACAGCTGTCTACGTAAATTACAAAAGCAAACCCACCACCTCGACTAGCTCGTGATGCCGAAACGCTGTGGTTTCAGTGTTAAAGTCTATGCGTCTTAAAACGAGGTCACCCTCCACCACGTCAATTAATTGACAAACAAGAATTCTTGTTCGTGATGGGGAGAGGAAATCCGTTAAACCTTGCTTGGCTCACAGTCTAAAGACTGGCCATGAGAAAGGGTGTTAAGAAGAGTTTAAGGGACGAAAAACTCGCGTTTAGAAACAGTTAAACCCTTTTTCAACCTACCCGCACCACCGACCTAAAAAAAGCCGCCGGCCAGTTGAGTCACTGTAGAACAAAATGGCATAAATGTCTACCCTGACTCCCACCGCCTGAAGTGTCCACTGTAGCATTCGATGCACCAACAGCTTCGTAAGGCGACGTGAGATGCTGGGTCGTAGCGCACTTTCATCTCCCGCCAAACACCGATGCCTGGCCATGCTTTTGACTCAGTTGCCTTGGTCGACGACCCCAATCGTCCGCTTTGCAGTATCCCAGCCACTGTTGTCGTGTGGTGACATCAGCTGCTGCACATAACGCGAGCGAGAACAAGCTATTTTCACATACTTTTCTCCCTTTCCACCTACCTTCTCTTTGTAGATCCGTCAGTTATTCTGACGACTCGGTTTTGGCCGTCTCATCTACGCGTCTGCCGGCGCTGACAGCCCCAGGATTATTAATGTCGAGTTACGCCAGATGATTTTAGGAAGAAAGTACTCCCGTGATGATGAGTTACCCGCGCTTCATAGGTTACGCTGGTTAGGACATTTACTTCTCACGCCGGAAGGCCGTCTACCTCGCAGAGCTCTTTTCACCCAGCCTTGTGCTGAGTGGAAACAGCGTATGAACTGGCAACGAGGTATGAAACCATTAATCAGTGAACTGGGTCGGATCAACGGCTGCCGCCTCCCTGGATTATGACTCCGGTACCTAACTCACCAATGGTTAATGATATTGGTAGAAACAGTCCAATCGTGCAGTCAGTGGCGTGCACCAAAACGCCATTCTGAATTGGGCATGGAAGATAGAACTCTTCGGCAAACGGTGGTTCAGAATGCGCCATGTATGACTAATCCACCGCAGCTTTTGGAGCTGGACTCATTCTTTAACTGAAATCCCCAATATACGACAGAACATTCGTTTTCTAATTGTTTCGCTGTGTATTCACCGATGCCAGCCCACAGGAGCTGTGATTCTGAGACAACGGTCCTCGATGACTTGGAAGAGCCTCACCTCCGCTTTTCGCGAGGGCCGCATCTCTTAGACATATGGCAAAATAGCCCGTACAGTATCCTGGTACATAGGTTCCTTGAAATTCAGGGGTGTACCGCTTTATTGCCACAGGTGTCGAGCCATTGTCTCTTCCTCAAACCAGTCATTGCATTTCCACCCAGCTTTCGGTCAACAGTATGTTAGCCGCACTATTGAGGATTTATTGGATGATGAACAGTCCACTCTTTTTTCCTGCTGCCGCATTACTACCCCTCATCAAGTAGTCTTTGTATTTCATTCGTTCGTTTTGTTTTTTGTCTGTTGTAGCTTACCGCCTCCTATCGACATTCCTCAGCCCTCTACTTCCTGGCGGTTGACAAATCTGTTACCAAATGGTGGGCTCAATAGGCACACACGCCGGTTGTTTTCACTGCGATGAGGTTTTCGCCGTTTTCTTGTTGAAGCAGTTGCCACAATTCAAAGATTACAGCATTGTCAGATCACGGGATCCAGATGTACTGGAAGCATGTGATGTTGTGGTTGATGTTGGTGGAGTCTATGACCCTGATCGCCTTCGATTTGACCACCATCAAAAGTACTCGCATACCGATACAATGAAAGCATTTTTAATCTCTTAGAGGGTTTGACTTAAATTGGAGCAAATTCTTCGATACGAAGTTGTGGACAGTCAAATTTAGTAGTGCGGGTTTGGTGTACGCTACTTTTGGGAAGGATGTGCTCTCCATGCTCACAGGGTGGGATGTGGGGAGCGATAAACTTCAGAGGCTGTTCACGAAGGTGAGTTACCCGATCCGCGTCATTGACGTCAAGGTGTATGAGTCTTTTATCATGGAGATTGATGGCACGGACAATGGAGTCCCACAATCAACCCACAAACTGAAGTAGGTGCCCCTTCCAGAACTATTACGATTCTCTAGATATAATATCCGAACAGGTATCTGTTTACGTGTTAGCCGTCTCAATCCCTGGTGGAACGAAGACTGCAAAGATACGACGGTATGTCGTGTGATTGTTCTTGTCGTGGTCTCACTCCCCTACCAATGTAAATAACTTCGTCTTCCATGAACGAATATTTTTCTGTCTGTCGTTTTCTAAGTGTGACTTCGATCTGGGTGTTCTGATGTAATTACATATTTTGAGTTTTGATGGTTTTGCTGAGTGGGCGATGGTAACAGTTTAGAAAGCTAAATCTAATGTGTGTGAGGCGTCTTCGGGCACTCACTCATCCTACTTAAATTCCGTATGTTACTGCTAACCTTGTTTGATGTCTCATGGAATCAGGGCATCTTCTGCTGTTCGCTTGGGCACACAAGTGGTGTACTGTGTACGGGAGGACCCATTCTCACAGTTTTCCGATACAAACCGGAAAGTAGATCTTTATCATATTGAAGACCTATCCTTACCAAACAGTCATCGATTGTAATCTAGCATCTCTGTTGTTTGGTCGTGCAACGGATTTCAGCCGAAAAATGTATCTAGTATCAAAAGCTACCATGGTTTTGTCACCTGGGGTGACTGCCGGATCACCGTTTGCCGAAAATAATGCCGTTTTCTGTGTCCATTTCGGAGTCGGGTAAACAGATGTGTGGCCTAAGGGCGAATACTAAAAGTCCATGTGCTGCCGCTTTTCTTGCCCCTAGGATGGAATGCGCGTGATACTCTCTGTACATTATTGGAGATGTCGCGAACTATGACTGCTACTCGATATTACTGGCATCAATTTCCATCCAGTGTCTAAATGGATGTCCGGAGGTGTAGGCTCCTCTGAGTGATTTTAGCTTAGCACCAGGTCTCTTCCCAATTTTACAATAATTATTTCTTCACAATGAGGCTTTCAAATAAGTTATGATTGTATGGCAGTGAAGCATGAGTGTTGGATCCTGATGGTATGCCATCGATAACGATGGTCGCTTTGGATAAAAGCTGACTTAGGTTAATGGAGTCGCTGCCAAGGTTTACTGAAGGTCAAATCGACATCGGAAATGTACATAGACGTGTACAAGACTTAAACGTTCATTAGGAAGAAACCACTGGGTTTTTCTTCCGTTTGTTCATTGTGGGAATTTTCAGAAACGGTTATCTGAGGTGAATACGAAAGCTCGCGTACCGCACCTGAGCCCACGCTTCACTTCAGAGATTATTATGACTCCGTTGATGTGAACAGAAATCAACATTGTTGGGTGAACTCTCGCCGTTCGCAAATGTTTTGAACACGAAACTCTCTAGTAAAGAGTGTTAAGGTAGACTGAGGACGTCTTCACTTTCTGGTGAGTGATATATAGTAGCCCGGCTTGTCTATTTCAGTTCCCTCTGTGCCACAGCAGACTTCTATAGGGAGTTGGGTAGTTTTTCGTTCATGGTGATCATATAGTTTGAACACAACGCTTTTTTGCCCTTTACCTCATCTACATGTGAAAGACTGGAAGATTTGGTAGGTACCCTTATGACCTTCAATCAAACCCCATGAGTAGGTGTCAACATCGCCAAGTTGTTGAGAGAGTGCACAGTTTAATACATAGATGAAAATACTGGTGCTCATGTGCCCGCTTTGTTCATACTTTTCCGACGTTTGCCAATCTCTTGTTCACCTTCCTCAGCCTGCCTTCCTAGAGGCCGTTGACTTCGTTGGCCGAGAGTTTGTCGAAACCGTCAAGTATCTTGCTAATTGTTGGTGGCCAGCGCGAGAGTTTGTCGCCCGAGCGATGGCTAAACGTGAGCTGATTGACGATTCGATGGCCATCATCGTGCTAGAACAATCCTGTCCATGGAAATGCCATCTGTTCGATTTGGAGCGAGAGGAGCGTGCTGAAAGCGTCCTGTATCCTCAGCCACTAAGACTCCTTACTGAAAGGCCGGAGCCGAAGTTTCCACCCAAAGTTTTATTTGTCGTGCACCCTTGTGACGACGGGACTTGGATTGTCCAGGCGGTTCCCGGAGACAATTTCGAAAACAGGTACCCTCGTGTTCCTCTGTTGATGCTGTTTGGGTATGGTGCGTTGCTGTTGCGGACCAATTTACCAAGATACCAAACGATGGCCTGCATCAGTTTTCCCACCATAATACGTACCGTTTTGTTGGGCCGTTTGAATTACTTTTGTCACTGTCTGCCAGAGAGGAAGCAAATGACGGACATGTTGAAACTGGTCGAGTACAGGTCACTACAGGAAAGCCTCCATGTAGGACACCCAGATTACTCCTAAATATAGGGCGACTGCAACTGTATCCGAACTCCCTGAAAGAATCGGTGTATTTACACCAAGTCCGTTTAGCTTATTGAAGAGCGGGGGTTTTACAGAGCATTTGTTGGTTCCCGAAAAAGAAATATCCGCCTTTAAATCGATCACCTCGGAAATGAGTTTTGATTATTGATTGGTTCCGGTATAGCAAATAAAACTGTCCGAAATTTCAAACACCGAGGGTAAACTTTATCCAGAAAGAGGCTATTGGCACCATAGCACTACTGATGCTTTCAACATGCTGTCATGTGTGCCGTAACCGGTATGAATCATGTATATCCTGACCGTGTATACTTGTAACGCTATGTTCACTACCTGGTCCTGGGATGGCCTTGTCGTATCGCGTGCGGCTTGTTGTGCTTGACTCACCCGTGTATATTGAGTTACACTGGACGACGTGGCGCAACACCATCAGACCTGTTAACGAACGAAGGGGTTGCGAGCCAGCACAACAACTCTGTGCATGCACTTCAAGATTGTTTAGCAAGATAGATACATTATCAAAGTTGGATCGATTACTTTTGGTGAATGAATAGTTGTGATCGCTGAGTCACGCACCCGTTAGTTTAGTTCCGGGATTGTCACTTATGTGCCATTCACACGGTACATTCGTTCGTTAACAAGTATGACGGTGTTGCGTTACCTGTCATTTCGAGCATTCCAGCTCATACAAAGGCGAGTCAAACACGACACGATAAAGCCACCCCAAGGCCAGGTAGCCTTACGTTTGCACACACGATGACCAGGATGCATGCGATTCACAGCGCATATAGCATACAGCTCACATTAGCAGTGCTCTAATGCCAGTCATATGTTCTTTGACAAAGCTCACCCTTGGTGATCGAAATGCCAAACAATTTCATTCGCTATGCGCACCATGTGGTTGTCAGTGCTTCCTAAATGGTTTCTATGACGGCTGAGCGACAGTATATATTAATTACGTATCACTGTAATCCGGTTTTATGCGGACTACATCCAATTTGGTATGCATCTCATGTATATGCACAACTTGGACAGGCGTAATAGCTTCACAGGTATTCGAATTGCCAAAATGATTAGCATTGTCAGCAAACCTGTTATTTTCAACAGTTCCGGTTTTTCGTAATAGACGCGGACTACATTTGTAGCAAAACGTTTCTTCATCTATAATGTTTGTGGTTAAAATGCTTGCTATGGTTCGAGGAAATTTACTAACTTTTACTTCAATTCATAGATATTTCCACTGGTAACGGGTTCTAACTCGAAAAGCTGGAAAATTTTAGGCGAAATATTAAGGGAAGAAATGTTGATAATCCCACTTGTTTTCCTGTCTTGCTAAAAAATACGCAGGCAGCCGGATCATGAAAACAAACAATCACAAAGTGATTGGCCCTAACCGTGATGGGATGGTTTGCTTACCTCTGTGACCCACTGTGTGCCACCGCTCATGTCGCTTTCCATCCGCTTCTCAGATCAAGACTTGGTACCTCTGTTTTTATCGCAACTTTTAATGTGCGAACTCTGGGGCGAGTCGGCCATCTGCTGATGTGCACGCTGTCGACAACATACCGAGAGATAATTCCTGCATTTCTGAAGTTCCAATACAAGATCTTTGTGCAGTAATCGAGCTTACAACACTGTTATCTAGACGCAATTGCCTATGAACTTCAGGCGGTTCTGCATCTGCTGTAGCGGATTGCGTTGACGTTGATATGATTCTCGGCTTTTGAGCTGGTACTCCCTCACTCCACTGGATGCACCTAAAATAGCGCCTTTGAGCTCTTTGTTCCATAAGAACCCGTACTATCCGAAATACTATCTCTCTGGTTGTGATTTTGTTCGCTGAGCTGGGCAATTAGACTGCAAACGTTTAATCACCATTCGAGGTGAAAGTGCGTTGTTAGGGAGCGTAGCGCTGGGTCGATGGTTGCGCTCTCTCTTATTTGTAGTTTCTGCATGTGCACCAACTCTGAGTCGTCAAGGTATACTTTTTTCTGGAAACCAACTAGTCGTATTCGGCAGGAGAAATTCGGATATTATCACAGTCGCCGGCGATATCAGTTGACACGTAAGACGTCTCCGTTCGTGAGACACCCTCATTATCGACCTATTCAGCTCAAGAAGTATTGACAGTGGTGATCATATTTTGGAGCTTTGCACTGTTCACTAATTATTCCTCAGTAGTACTGGATTCAGACACAGACACCGTTTTGGTATCCGACATCCTACTGATGGACAACCATGTAGCTTTTAGCACTAGGTGACGAAGCTCTATTCCTGACTTTTACTCCTTCAGACCACTCACGTTGCCAATTCAGGTCATTCTTTTCTGCTTTTTGATTTGCCGGTATGTTACACCCTGAAGACCGTAGAAACGAACCCTTCATTCAGTCAGCGAAGAACTTTCTGAAATACAAGTTAGACACTTACCAGACTAGCCCAGACGAAGCTTCGAAAGTCAAGTCCTCAAGAAACTTGGGACGGCACCACTACTCACACGGCAGGGACCTCTGAAGCCTACCAAACCTGTTAGTGAAGTCATCAAAGATAGTGTTGGTAATTTAATACACAAAAGAACCAGCCTCTCGACCACTAGTCTGGACAGCAGTTTAATTGGCCGTCTGCCTCCTTATCCATGCCTTTCATTCGAGCCGTGCTTTGCAAGCTTAGGTCCTCCCTCAATTCCTGAAGTACTGATACGCCTTGCTGTTTCGAAACACGACCGGGCCGCGTGAACTCCTACCAGTGTTATTCAGAGACGGTCGCGAGACTTTGTGTTTTAAGTTGATTAGTTATTTTGAACTAACTTGGGAACAAAGATGCGTCTCAACAGTCCGGGACCAATCCATCATTATGCGTTTACCCGAAAAAACTGCTCAAACAGACTGCTCCAAAAATGTGGGTATAAGCCTTACTTCTACAAACTGCAGTGATGCTACGACCTCTGATCTCATCAAATGAAGCGCAAGTCCGAGAGCACCAGGCTTTAAACTTACCTTCGACTCTGTGCATACTAACTGCTCTTCATCAAAAAGATATGCAACTCGAAGCTTGTAAATATTCTTCTTGCTATTTATTACCGTACTTCTGGTTGCGCTACAATTTACATTGAGCTTTTCAAAAGTTCCCCTGCATCCATTGTGCATTCGTCATGGATTTCACCTCCACCCACTTTCGTTCAGTTTGCCATCGCGGCTATCAGGGAGCGTACTCTCCAGAGGACTGCAAATCTGGAAATAGAAGTCACATCCAAAGAAAGATGGGTAGAGTTAGACCATCCGGATGCCATTGTCCCATTATTTGATGACCATATGACTGCAGAAGCTACTCCAAATAGAGCATCACAAGCAGTCCCCTGTTCCGGCATCCCTTTCGCACCTTTTGATGCAACGCCATACTTCAGGACTTCTCAATCCCGTGTACCTCTTTGGAAACTCAAAATAGTGAACTTGGGTTTGTTGGTAGATTCATCTATGTTGGCAGTTACCTAAGCCGTGCCCGCATCGCGACATGAGGTTGCACACTTCAGCAATTCATGAGCACTGTTTGTGAACTTGCGTCACATTTCGCGTCAGAAAACAACATCACTAAGGTTAAGTGGCTGCATATGCAAGACAACCGTGAGCGCAGGCTGTGAAAGTAGATCTCTCCAACTTGAAGACTTCAAACTTCTCTAGGTATTCGCTCGCCGCTGTCTGTCTAGCATAGCAGGTGTCAACTGGCCGCAGCATATATGTAGCAAAACGGTCTGAAAGCCAGTGGTAAACAATTAGTCGGATTAACCCAAGCAGCAGATAAACAGGCCAAGACGGTTGGAGTATGTGTTACATGTACCCGATCACCGCCTACCAACGAAAACCAATTAACCCACTCTGAACCCTTTGCGAAAAATTTGCGGAGGAAAGGGTGTGAAGTGGATTGTCGGACTGCAAGTGCTTCAAATTTGCTCAAAGCCGTAAATTAGCATGCCGAGAAGCTGTATGGAAAATTTTATTTGCAAGACTATCTCCACAAACAGCTGAAATCCAACGTCTCGACACTATATGCCTTTAGACAGTCCGCAAAATTCACGCTCGCCGTACGCAGATATCAAGGGCAGCATATGTTACCCGTTTGATATCTGCTATATGTCGTTTAATAGCTTTGGCGATTTGGGGCGAGATGGTTCATTGGTTAGAGCGTGAATTCATTGACCGGATGGTTCGTGGTTCAAACCTGACCTCTGCCTCTCTACTTCCCCTGTCTAGGTTTAGGCGACCAGGCAGTATCCCAGCCCTCGTGCTTACCTCTGGTGGCATGGCAATTAGGCACCGAAAGGCGCTACGGCTGAACGGTTCCAGCTATTTGGAATCCGAATCACCGCGACCGTGTTACACTGTGCTCCCCCCCTAAGATAATATTTCAAAAGGGAACCTGATTTGAGAGACATGTGAAAGTACACATTTTGTTCTTTTGGTCTTGAATTCCTACATATGCGCATATAAAACTTATTACACGAGGCGCTTATAACGAACGGTTGCAGTGAAACTAAGTTCACTGAGGCGAATAAAAACGGATCAGAACTCTTTCAGCTTGCCTGAAAACCAGGAAAGCGCAAGTCACAAATGTCAAGCTGGAAGATGGCACCAGAACTTATAGGAAAACGGTTGAACGGCTATGAAGATCGCTGTTTTACTGATATGCTTTGTTCTGATTCTTCCGACCCATGCATCTAGTTCATTAGACGACAGCGTGTTGG